TCAGTGTCTGCCTCTCGGCTGTTGTCAGCCGGGAAGCGATCGCTCTGCGGCTGCATTAGCCCCTGATCACCCCGCGCTCCCGCCCGCTGTTCGCGTTTCCCCTCGAAACAACCGGCACCATCTCCGCTCCGAAACGACCGGCACGGTCGTCCGTCCGCTCTCGCATTCACGAGACGTGAACAAGGTACAAAGTGTTCTCGGCTGCAGTTACCCAGCTTCGAGTCGGCGATAATCAACTACCGACTTTCCCGAGCCCGGGGGTTTGTGCTTTGCGCATTTGTGCACTCCTCGGGAGAGAACACGAGGAGACCGCTCGAACTTGCGAAGGCTACGAGTGGGAGCTACGTACTTTGAAACGCCCGGTGTGATGTGAATGCTCGCATAGAGCGAAAGCAACACCCAGGTTGAACCTTCGACAGTTCCTTCTCCCAGTACGTCAGTGGAGCGTCTATTTGGCGTTTTAAGGTAACAGAAAAAATGTTATTGGCGACACATTAGAAAAGGCTGTTAATATAGTCGAGCGCAATAATGTGCGCAAGTTAAACAATAAACGTCAAAGGAGGCGTTCAGCTGCTTGGACACCGCTGTAACAACTAAAGTAACGCGTTGCTATTGATGTAAAGTTATGCGTTCTTTTGACTAAGGCATTTAGTGTAGCCAATATTTTGATGGGTGACTAGTATTGGTCAATTCACGTATTAGCGCTGGACTACGTTCAGGGGGTTTACGTCGGGATTTTACTTCGAGTTATCATAGCAACCAAGTATTGCCTCGACTGCTTAGCGTAAGTTTGCAGTCAAATTTCAACGTAAACCCCCGAACGTATGGCCAAACGCAGTCATATGTTATTTGTGTGGATAAGTTGTTGCAACATTGCAATACATTTTTTTTAGAGGTTTCGGGGGGGGGGGGGGGGGGGGGGCGTAACGTGTAGTAGATGTATGCGCTAACAACTTGTGGGCAGGCTAGAGAATAAAAATCAGGATGCGTTAAATCGTGGTTTAAATCGGACTAGTTTTACGAAGATGATATAAATCAAACCTTTCAGGCAAAAAAAAATGAAAAAATAAAATAAAATAAATCTCGGAAATTGTTTTTTATACACCGTTCATCTATCATTTGATGCTTTCTGTGTGCATTTGTTATGTACAGAAATTAAAGAATCGATGAAGGAAGAAATATTTATATCAGGCTGAATACGTTAAAAAAACAATGCTCTTCTCACCGAATAGTAGCACTGAGCTTTCTGCCAAGCTTCAACTTGTTCGCCAGTTACGTAAACTCTTATTGAAAGAAAATGAGAACGCGAAATAAAAAGCAAATAAAACTTTTTAGCTAACGAAGAAAAGCATGCTGCTTTTGTTTTAGTATGGCGGCGTTTACGTGAATAAAATGTTGTCAATTAAGCTATACTTTTTATTTAAGGTAATTCTTTTTCATTGTTGAGAAGCTGACGGATTAAACATCAACCTGCCATGTTTAGTGATAAAGAATCACTATTTTTTTATCTGCAACGATTTGAATCAAATTAATCTTATTTATATCAATAAAATCTTACTTATTTTAAAAATCGTTTTTTTTTTCGCTTGTGGGCCTATTGGCCGCAAGATTGAACAGTTGAATTCAGTGAAGAACGGAATTAAGTTCCGCTAAGTCACAGCTTTGGACAGCGTTGATCCTGAGCAGACTCGAATCAAGACTTCAGAAAGTCCGTCCCTGTGTACTCTAAAAAAAGTCCCTGCGTCTACTTTCACGCACAACACTGGGAGAGCCAATCACCGCAACTTACGGAGGCAGCTCAGCGAATGACGAAGCCGAAACATATGTTTAGACCAAAAAACGTAGTCTGAGTTGTGACATTAAGCAATGCAAGCGTGACGTTTTGCATTGCTTAATGTCACAACTCAGACTACGTTTTTTGGTGTAAACATATGTTTCGGCATCGTCATTCGCTGAGCTGCCTCCGTCAGTTGCGCTGATTGGCTCTCCGAGTGTTGTGCGGGAAAGTAGACGCACAGGTATTTTTTAGAGTGTGTGGTACATGGGTAGTGATAAACGGCTGGACTTCACCCGCTGCGCGCGCACAAGCCGAAATGTCGTGTGTGAACAATCATGTGCAATCGCTAGCCTGCCAAAGGTTCATTGTAGCTCTTCCTCAAAACTTAGGAGAAAACTGCCCTACTCAATTAAAAACGATTTTTTTTTTTTTTTTTTTTGCTCCCCGAATGAAACGCCGGAAACACGCTTTTCTGCTCAGATACAATTTCTTAAGAACTAACATTATATAATCCAAGAAATTGTCAGCTCAACGGTGCTTAGAACCCACCAATGAGCAGACTTTTATCAGATGAGGGCCAATGGCGCAGAAGCCTTCTCCTGCATGGGCGGAGCCTTGCTTTCCGTGGGCGGAGCCTTTCCTGCGGATATACTGCGTCTCTTGCCAAGCAAACGGAATGAAGCGTTCCACATTCAAATCTGTCCAGTGGAAAAAAAAAATTTAAGGGGGGGGGGGGGGGGGGTGAATGCATTTGATGCGGTAGGGCGAATAGCGCGAGAACTTGGCTACACACTTGGCCTCGCATGTTTGACCCTTCCGCGTCAAACTGTTTGGTCGCGTGGAGGCGGATGACGCGCGGAAGCGCCTGTACTCGCGTAGCTTTGTGCACTCATCCTCTCTTCGCGAAATGCCATCAAACACCAAATGAACAAAAACCGCTACCGTGTTTTAGTATCACGCACGGTAACGTAAGGTTCACTCTGTTTCTAAGCGATCCTAGTCCAGAAGAGCGCGTTCCCTGAAGAGACAACCAGCCTCGAAGTGAGAATACGCTAACCTCTTCCTTCCTGGGAAGCAAGAACGAAGCACAGTGCTATCGAAGGCACGTGCGTAAGCGCGTAGCTCCGCAGAATCATTCTTTCTGTTATAACTTATAAGCCATCACCCACGAAAATCATGTTCTAAAATGACGCGCTCGCGCCCCTTCGACAACGCTACACACTTGAGATCACTGAGAAGTTGAAAGCATCAGCGTGCGAAGTACAGGTATACCTGCAAAAACTGAAAATCGCTGGAGCACCCCGCGAGCGTGCGTCGTTTGGGGTTCTAAGACAGACACTATTAGCGGCGAGATGTTTTGGTGGCGCCCTCCAATGGTTCCCCCTTATGACGTCATTACCTTGCGAACAGCAAGTTCGATGGTGTTTGTAAATAGCATGGTGGAAGCCTGAAATCATTGCGCTCTCAAAGCAACACTGCCAACACCGTCGAAATGAACGTTCTTTCATTCCTCTTATTTCCGTCGACGATATACCCTTTCCAACGTCATAGTCCGCTTTTGGGCCAATCGTGGAAGGCCGACCACAGCGACGCTTTCGGTCGCGCACGTCGCCAATATTTCGTCTCATCTTAGCATGAACTATTGTTAGCCGCGCATGCTAAAAGCGCGAGCGAGTAGCTTTGGGTAAAGCCTCGGCAGCTTCACGAGCGCTCGTGCAGCGAGTGCTCCTGTCAAGGTAGTAAGGCTAGCCGCTCGCACTTGCAGAGCCTTCACAGTTGGTCCATGCCACGGTGGTCCATGCTAAGGTGAGACGAGGTATAAACATGAACGCGCTCTTAGAGGTGAGTGGGGTCAGGTGAACGTGCAAGGCGTACGCGCAGGAACTTCGAATATTTGCACTTCGAGTGTGTCCTTGAACTTTCCGGAGTAAAGGCTTTGCACCATGATGCCCTGAAGGTTACCCGCACCCAGGGTTCACTTTAAGATATGCCGGTCCGTCTACATTCGTACATAACACGCAATGACAAAACAAAAACACGCGATCACAAAAAAAAAAAAAGCCAGCATCACTTAGACCTTAAGGTCCTTCGCAGCAGAAATTACGAAGTATATTTATCGACCAACCATAAAATGAAGTCTTTCAGTTCCTTCTGCTGCTGTGCGCCAACATTGCCTTCCTAAACGCTGCACCATCATGCAGTCGGCGCTTCAAAGATTGTCGGCACTTGTAGGAAGCACAAAGTGTGCCTTTTATCTTTGAACTACACCTAGAGTTGGACGACTAGCGAATGACAAGGCCGGAAATAGATTTTGATCCAAAGATGCGGTTCCGCGCTGAGACACTGAATACGACGTTTGACATTCTCGGTGTTACAAAAGCAGATCACAAGGAGAACACGGCAAACCAACGAGGCACCAAAGACAATTTTCGGTGCCTCGCTGGTTTGCCCTGCTCTCTCTCTGTAGATCGCAGTGATTCTCTGCGAAAAAGTAGACATGCGTGTATTTGAAGAGTAGTGTTTCGCCTGGTATAGCTCGATGCTATTTACCTGCCGGAGTAAAACGAAAAGATCCAGGTGACTGTCGTTTCACGTGATGCGAGTTTTAGCAAAATCGCCCGTGCGACGCTGTACGAGGATCATCACCACTAGCTTCGGGAAATCGGCATGATGATGATGCTTCTGCCACACGTGCGCGTATTCCAAGAAATTATACCATATGAGATAGCCTTTAAGATTTGGATCGTACGCCACGAATGGGGTGAGTGGCATGCGGTGTCAGAGCTGTTCACCCCAAAGCCTATGTGAATGCGTTTCTGTCTGTCGTTGGACATCACTGAATGAGTTTGCCTAAATGAGGCTTACACAACAAAGACAGAAGCGATACTGAACAAAATCCCCTTAGACTGTGTCCTACGTCTTATTTCTGTGTGCCATTTCTTCGCTTTCCGCGAATACGAGCATTCAACAGGTGGCTCGCATTTCCTCCTTTAACTCGGTATGAAAGGTGCATCTTCGAAATAGTTTTGTGACCTCCTGAACAGTGATAAGTATTTCTTTTTTTATGCCACAATTATTGAAAAAAAAAACCAAAAAACTACGGAGCACGGGCGTGAACCTTTGACCACCATCGGGCAGGGAATGCGCTGGACGCGCAGTCTGTGCCCAACGCCGGAGTCCAGCCACGTAAGATGAACAACCCCCCCGACATCAAGGTACCGACCTGACACGCCCGTGCCGAAGACCACAAGCAGGAGTAGCATGCTGCTCGCTGCTGGCGGGGGACCCCGCAGTGTTGTCGCAGATCCGATGACTAAGCAGCGTGAGCGTGCAGCGAGGATGCACGCGTCCGGGGACGCTTCCTCATGGGGCACCAGCGGCTGCCACCAGCTCTCCCCGCGGCGAGGAAGCGGATCGGTGCTGGCCACGTGCTGCCCTCCGAGACTCTGCGTGAGAGCAAGTGGTTGACCGAGCGCCCAGCCGCGGCGTCCCCTCTCGGCGCCGGACTCCCAATGGCAAAAGCTGGCCCGTGGAACCGGGCCCACCGAGCCACGAGCCAGCGCGCCGGCGCCAGGAGCGCTGTCGGCGCTGTCGGCGCTGCCGCCCGCGCGGAGGGGGAGGGCGCGGGGGTTCGCCTGGATTCCAGTCTTTCAGGCAGCTTGGAACCCGACACACGCCAGGGAACTTTCGGAGGGGTCGAGCTTCGAGTCGGACTCAGTCATTCGGGAAGGCTTGCACTCCCACTTTTCGCTCGGCGATGGGTTTAGTTGAATCATTTATCGATCGATCAATATTACTCGAGCGGCCCAACGCGGGAAACCCGCCCGTGTGCAGTAACACGGATGTAGCGACATAAATTACTAATCTACAGCGGGGTCACCAGGCATTCATCGGGGCTCACTACTTCCCGTTGCCCTAAACACACACAATTACTTTCATACAAATATGAGCCCCATATTGTGCGCTACTGGCGTTAGTAATTGAGTGAATTCGGTTACAGAAACAAGGGTGGCAAAAGGTTTGACTCGACGAGGATTTCGCAGCCTTAACTTAGGCACGCGTCAACAAATTCACAACCGCAATAACGTTAGTAGAAAGAAGCTACAAAAGAACGTACAAACTTGAGAGAAAGTGTAAAGTTCGGAAAGCCATTCGCGATCCAGCAGGTTGCAGCCATTTCCTTCTCTAGCCAGCAACGGAAGAGCCAAGTCTTTGAACCTGGGGTGATGTGCACTTGCACAGGACCCAGCACTCCCTGCTTTTCCGATCACACTGACGAACAAGACAAATCCTGCCTATACTCCGTTTCACCTTATGTTGTACCGCAGCGAAGGCTAGAAGCGCGAGCGCATAGTGTTTGCAGCTGCCCTTGGTGCACGAGAGCTTGTGCCGCCGAGATGTGCCCTAGAGCAAGGAGCTCGCGCTTGTAAGCTTTCCTGCGGTACAACAGACGGTGAAACAGTGTATAGTAAATTTAAGTTGGTATGCCGTTCAGAAGTCAATAAATAATATAGCAATTTTGTGTACGTTTAGAAAACGCAACGTTTGTAAACCATAAAACCAGTACTAGAAAAGTAAGAAAGAAACCACCGAGACAAAGTTCGATAGCGATGTAATGTTACGCGCAATCCATTTCCTCAAATCTGTAGGGAGCTGCCCGCCGGAAATAACACGACAGAGAAGCTGACTAGACATCTATAGGCAATCATTGAAAATGCAACTGTGAACAAGAAAAGTATAAACATTCGTGCAAAAAAAAAAAAAAAAAGGGAACCAGTTTTTTAGTTTTTTTTGTGCGCGTACGGAAGAAAAAAAAAGAAATTTTGTTTTTGAAAAGTAATCAGGCAGCCACATAACAGATACGAGTGAATTATTTAGCATATTTCGCCTAGATATTTCGAGAAATGCAAACACCAACCCCTCGCTTTGGCGCAACTTGCACGCCTGCCGGGATGTGCCGAGTAGACATGAACGACGAAAAAAATGAGAAGTTAAAGCAAAACCGAACATTCTAGTTTCGGAAGTGCCACGAGGTCTCTGTTCTGGTATTTGGAGTGCGCTTGGTGCTCTGCCGTCTCCTTGAAAATTCCATCCCTAGAATATCTTAAAACCCCCCGAGCATGTCATCTTCGGATAGTCTACGCGCAGAGGCGGTAGTCACACTCTCCCGAGAACTACGAGAGCGAACGAGAGGCGTTGCAGTTACTCGCGCGCTCGAGCAGCGCGAGCATCAGCGAAAGGTCCCACCTCCACCTCTGTCCTCTCCTCGGGTGAAATCAACAATTCAGCAAACCTTGGAAGGAAAAAGAAAGCTTTTCTTTCGTTTACTTTTTTGTCGGTTGTGCAGAGGAGGATTGGTCCTTCGTATCCCGATAAACCTTGTCCCATTTATTATTGAAAATGTTGTGTATTTTTAATCAAAAATCGAGAAATCTATCAACTTAAAACGCGTGCCAATGTAACGTATGATACGTAAAATTTCACTGTGTAAAACGGTTGCGGTGCGGATCTTCTTTTAAGCTGGAAGTGAAACTTTTTTTTTCTCTTCTTTATTGCTTTAATATGTATCTATCTATTTACTCCTATTAATACCTGCACATTCCTAAAAGGATTAGAACACGGACCATGTTAACAACCTCGCTAACAAATTAGTAAGATAATAAACGCATATGTATCAACAAAAAAAACGAATTGGTGCAAATTTATCGAATGGTATCTATCCTAGGTCTTTAACTGGATATCACATCATCTACTACTAAGAACGCTGCAGCGCACAACCATTGCGCCTCAACTTGTTATATGAATTGCTGCCTATTTTAAAAATAGAAATACAGTTCGTAGAATTTAACGACTGTGAATTATTGCACCCTGATGTACTGTCGGATTTGCCCCCAAGGATTAATTCTAAACCGCTCTACCTCATAGGATAATATTGGTACAAACCTTAATACGAGTGTGACCGTAAAAAAAAAAAAAAAAATGTTTACTGATGACAGTGCTATTTACAAAACTCCTGAGAGCTTGAAAGAGCAAGTGTCGCTCAAGGTCGAGAGGCGAGGTAGTGGCGACTTGCGAGCATGTCATTTGTCGGTGAAGCTTTCGACATATACTACACCAATTCGACCAGTACTATAGAATATGCGTCAATCGCGGTGTGCACCAATCCGTCATTGTTGTATGTGTTTACATTTTATTCTTGAAGCCTAATTACTGCCCTAGCCTCTAGGGCAGTAATTAAACAATAACTATAAAGCAATCAGCTACATAAAACATGTTTCTAAAATAAATATTGGGTTTGGTGCAGGTGAGGCTCCGTGAAGCTCTATGTCTCTTTTTTTTTCATATTTTTCAGTAGTTGTAGATGTTTTGCAAAATTAGCAAAGTTTAACCAAGTTCCTTGAATCCGCCTGAATGACTAAAATTCTTTTTAAGAAATATGAAGATCTATAAGCTCGAAATGTGTGAACATTGCGAAACGCATCGATCAAATCAAGTAGACAGAGGAATGAGACTGTATGCTGCTCCGCGTACGATATCCACTTGGTCATGTGGCAGACGAGACGGAATATCCACCGAGAAAGAATGTCCAACTCAGACGGAATGTCCAACGAGTCTGAATGTTCAACGAGACGGAAGATCCAACCATGGCCGAAATGTACACCGTGACATCCATCGAGACTGAATGTCGAGCGAGTCTGAATATCCAACGAGGCAGAAGATTCAACCAGGCCGGAATACCCAACGTGTCTAAATATTCAACGAGTCTGAATATCCACTAATGGATCTTTCGACTCGTTGGATATTCTAATCGCCTCCTGGGCCAGTTTGCTCGAAGCGCTAACCGCGGCTGAAGTTAGCCGCAGTAGCTAGGAAAAGGATTTTCAAATCACGTGACTGGGCTCGGTAGGGATGCGGGGAAACACGGCGGTGCACCGGTGAGTGAGCGCCGCTCTCTTTGGAACTAATATGACGTTGTAGCTGCAATATCGGGAGCGTTAGTCAGCAATAAATGGTGCGGGAGGCTTCCGCTTTGCCTTACTTCACTTAAATCACAAAGCATGAGCAATGACCTCGCCTCATTTTTTAGATAGTGTTTCGATTCTGGGCATTCCTAAGCCTAAATGAACGCGATAATTGTCAGCATGGCAACGTCTTTGGAAAGCGGATTGCCTTGACTCAATCGACCGGGTATTGATAGCACACAAAAGCAGACAGCGTCCCCCTATATACCTTTTTCTAAATTACTCAAGCATTGAGGAGAATGCTGGAAATTCAGTTCTACGGTCCGCGCGCGCTGGCCTTCCTCTCATAGAAGATTCGAAATAAATAATCATAATAAGGCTTTGACAAACGCGCGTACAAGGCCAAATTTGTTTTAGACTTTTGCTTTAGAACAATTACTACTGCAGACGCCAGCACGTGCAACGCGTGTAACTACACTCGTTGCGTGCACCTCGCTGCTTGGAAAATTTAGAAAAAGGTCTATTGGGACGCTGTCTGTTTTTGTGAGCTATGAATACCCGGCCGAATGAGTCAGGGCAATCCACTTTCCAAAGACGTTGCCGTACCGATAATTATCGCGTTCATTTAGGCTTAGGAATGGCCGGAGTTGAAAGACTATAAAAAAAATGCGGCGAGGCCACTGCTCATGCTTTGCGAATTAAGTGAGGTAAGGCAAAGCGAAAGCCTCCTGCACTATTCGTTGCTGACTAACGCGCCCGATATTGCAGCTACAACGACATATTAGCTTTAAAGCGAGCGGCGCTCACTCACCGGGGCACCACCATGTTTTCCCGTATCCCTACCGAGCCAGTCATGTGATTTGAAAATCCCTCTCCTAGGTACTGCGGCTAACTTTAGCCGCGGTTAGCGCTTCGAGCAAACGAGCCCTGAGCTGCAGCTTTGAACAAACTCTGGCGCCCCCTCTTTGGGTAGTACAAGCTCAGCTGATTGGGCCTCGCACTACTTGCGGCGCCTTCGCTGAACTTTTTCTTTTCTGTGTAGTGCTGAAGAACGCAAAAATACCTTTCGACTTCCGAACACCTTTCGATTTCCGAAATCGGCTAGATTCAACGCCGTAAAACAATCGAAAGTGCCAGATTCATGCCACCACCACTAGGGCACGCGTCAATTATTTCTGGGTGTTGACGACAAAACATGTAACGCCCCGACGCGTCTTTTTTTTTTTTTTTTTACTGCGATACCAATAGTTAGTGGGACACTTCGCAGGTCTCGCGCCGTCTACCGCGCTCCGTATCGACGCGGGCCATTAGTGAGTTCTAGTACTGCCCTATTGAAAAAACCAGCTTAAGCTGGTCCCAGCTTCAAGCTGGGTTATTGCCCCAGCATGCCCAGCTTGGCATGCTGGTCATGCTGGTTGATCTGGTCATACTGGTCATGATGGTTGATCTGGTCCCAGCTTCAAGCTGGGTTATTGCCCCAGCATGCCCAGTTTGGCATGCTGGTCATGCTGTTAAACTGGTCATGCTGGTGAACTTCCCAACCAGTTTAACCTGTTTAAATTAATACACAGAATAAAAAAGCCAAGCTCGTCAGAAAAGCCAAC